AGACAACTTTTGACTAATGTGCAATAACTTATTTGAAAATTGGAAAATACAATAAGAAAGTTTTCAGGCACATTTTTTCAGTTGGATTTAATACGACTTGTTTAAATATACATTAAATATATTAATAAATTTAAATTATTTCCTGACCACTAACAATACCTTCCTATCTAACTTTCAATAGTGGTTAACTGTAAAAAAGTAATTGAAAAATTCTATACTTTATGATTTTTTTTCCATATTGTCATAAATTTTATTTGTTAGTGATGAAAATGACTACTAAAGGATAGACTGGTGAAGTAATGGTAAAGTCAGTGGACCAGGATACAGAGTTCAAATTCAGTTGTGTTAGTATATAAGAATCTTTATTTCATCTTCCTCTACCAAAAGAATTTGTGTCATATTTGCATTTATTAAAAGGAATAAAAGCTTCCAGATATTTCTGCTTGTGAACTTATAGCTTATAACAGTAAATAATGTTTTTGTATTTCCATAATAAAATAACTTGAATTTTATATATGGTTTTAATATTTGCTATTAGTATGTATGTATCATTCTAATCTCACAATTTGCAAGAACAATAATTCATAGTTTTTACAGTACTCTGTTTTGTTTATTGAGAAAAAATACCACTTATCCAAGATAAATTTTATATTAAAGAACTGATTTTAATCAAATAACTTTATACCTGAACCAGGTGATAAACTAAACTAAGTAAATAAGGATTATATATAAACAAATTAATTATGAGTATTATTAGAAAAAAAGAAAAAAGGATGTTATCTTTCTTTAAAATGGGAAAAAAAATTTTTTTCATGAATAGTACACCAAGAACACCAAAAATACATTGAGAGAAAAGGTGTTGAGCTATATCCCAAACTAATTTCTGGGGTGAGCGGTTATCCTTATTTACACTATTTATATTCAGACTATTTTCCTTATCTTTGTTGTTGTCATCCCAATGTTTCAGCCATTGTGTAATTTGGCCTTCTTCAGACACATATTGATCTAGGTAACCTGAAGAAAAAGTGAAATAATCTAATGTATATAGACTTTAGGAAGTGCATGTCACATTGAAACTATAAAGTGGAATTTTAAATTTTCAAATTTCACTGGTTCAAATACCAGTACAGTTTGTTGCATTCACTTTTGCACAAATATGCTTGAGAAGAATCTGAATCCTTGTTTTCTCTCCATCAGCTATGGGTTAAATAGGAGGACAGACTGAACTCTCTAAACTTGGTTGCAAACAAAGAATGATAACTTTGAATTATTTGATTGGCAACTACACTCAATTCAGTCAGTTATGTGCCATGCATGATACACGCATATGCAATCATGTATCTTTCAATACATGACTGACAAGGCAGATTTTTTCCACAGTAGGTTGCCATTTTTTTCTGCAGTAGACCAGTTGCCATCCAAGATAATATCTATAGAACCTGGTCTCTCCTGCTATTTAACCATAGCTGGAGGGGAGAAGAAGAGGATTCATACCTTTCCCAGGGTTATTAGCACGTAAGTGAATGTAATGGATTCAATTGGAATTTGAACTAGGCTCTCCAATTCCTCAATCCGAGCCGTTATCCATTAATCCATCATGCCTCCTATTAAAGAAAGAAAAAACAACTGGTTACAGAAACCACAGCAGCAACAACAATGTGGTGAAGCTGTGGCCCAGGACTCCATGGTGGTGGTGGTTGTGGGGGGTGGCTACAGGGTTAGCATAACTTACTCTGGCTCATAAAAACCTACTTGTTACAGAAACTATAGTAGCAATGTATAGCTATGCTTTACCAGGTAGTTTAATAGCATGAGGGAGAAAGAGGATATACACCAGGTATAGTCAACCTTTTTCATCCAGTGGACGTATCAGCTATGGTTCATCATACAGTGGGCCTCACTACTAAAATGACTCAAGGTAATTTTTCGTTAAAGTTGTCTCAGCCATTTTCATCACAGAAAAACATAAGCATCTGCCATAAAAATGGTGAAAAGTTGATTGTTTTTGGAAATACAACTTCTGAATAATTAAAAAAAAATGAAGTCCTGGTATAATTTTATCATTAATGTCAGTGATAAACACACACACACACTGCTGTATGTGATTTGTTTCTTATTTATTTATTTGAAAATACAAAAAATAATTTTTAAATTAAAAAATATATTTCTTCTCTAGAGAAAAGGTTTCTTCTCTCAAAAACATATTTTCCTTCTCCAGATAGATCCTGTTTCTAAATCAAATGATATTTACACGCATGAAAAAAATCAATTGTTTAAAATGATGAAAACGTTACCTCCAACAAAAAGTTACAAAATTCAAATCATTGTTTATGTGTGTGGCTATGCATGAGAAAATGTGAGTGAACAAGTGAGTACGAAATGAAATAAATAAAATTTTAATAAACTTTAATTTCCTCATGGAATTCAGCACGCCATTGAAAAAGTGAAATGAGCTACATGTGGCTCACAGGCCCTACTTTGTCTATGACTAATGTAGACAGTAAAGAGAAATGCAATTTTCTCAAACTTTTATACATTCATTTTGATATCAAAAGATACCAAAGGGTGTTTGTTTATTTTTATTGAATTTGGTATTATTGTAAAAAAAACAAACAAATAAAAAAGAAAAAAAAAAAACAGATCAATTTTGTAAATGGAATTGTCTTCATTAACCACTTAATTGATAAATTTTTTCCATCCAAATCTTTCATTTGGAACATATTTTTTGCTTTATAAATTCAAGGTATGACCTTGGTTTTTGATTTGCATTATTTTTTTTTCTGTATAATCCACAATCTTTCTAATTAATATCCACCACTGAATCAAATGCATTGACAAACATTATGTTGAACATAAATATTTGTCAAAATAGATTGATATAGCATTATATGATTTACGTAACCAAAATATATATTTTCATACTTTTTTTTCCCTTATATATTCGTGATTATATATATATATATATATATATATATATATATATATATATATATATATATATATAGTTTATGCAAAACTAGGTAATCCGTATGGGTAGACCCAAAGAGGATGATATCCAAAGAGCTCAATGTAAGTTCAAAGCAAATATGTTTCAATAAAACAGATCACTTTAAGGTTCCATGTAATAAGTTAAGAACCTTAAAGTGATCTGTTTTTATTCAAACATAATATATATATATATATATATATATATATATATATAAGGTGTTGCATATTGGGATTGAAATTAGGAATAAGTTGTTCAAAGTTTACATTTTTTTGTCATTCAATTATTTTTGTCTTTTACAGTCATTGTCAAGAACGGTGTGTTGTCAATATTATAAACAAGATTTTTTTGACTAAATTATAGTATTGCTGAAGTTGGAGCTGAAATGGTTAAATGGAAAACATGTATTGAATATATATATATATATATATATATATATATATGTGTGTGTGCGCGCGCATGTTGGTACCAATTTATATAACCAGGAAACAATTATATCTATATAAGCAATATCTCAATTTATATATCAGTGTATGCTTACATAAATAAGTTCTTAAATCTATTACATCTGTATAAGTATGATATATGTGTGTGTGTGTATATATATATATATATATATATATAGATAGAGAGAGAGAGCCTTGATAAAGTCCATTAGACAATGGAATGCATTGGTGAAGAACAGTTTTCCTTTTCTCATTATTAATTTGGCTTTTTGCAGATATATTTTTATTTATTTATACCTGTACTTTTTCTTTTTTTGTTTTTACACAGACCTACACACACACACATATATATATATATATATATATATATATATAATAATTAATATATATATATGATTTAGTGATAAGCACATAAAAGATATATGAATGTGTTTAAATATTGTGAATGAAAACATGTTCATGATAAAGATATTTTCCACAATTCTTCTAAATAACAAATTTCTTTTGCATACTTTCTATGAAGAAATAAACCTTACACGGTTAAACCAACCTTTTATTTGGTCATCTCTAAAAGGAATAGTAAATTTTAAACAGTTATCATTATTAATGCATTTTTTTTAAAGTGAAAGACTGCATGTATATAGCATCAACAGACTTGCTAGCTTAAAAGACAACAAAAAGAAAAAGACCAAAAATTTTCAAAATCAGCAGCTGATTCCCATTCAGCGAATCAGCAATAAGAATTTGTGATGTCATCATGCAGTAGGCGGAGCTAAAAAAGAAAAAAAAAAAAGTTCAAAGCCTTTTGCAACTTGTCAGCTGCCCAGAAATATTCAGGCAAAGAGATTAGTTAAAAGCCATGATATGGACAGACCAGTGATTGCAAACATTTTAGTGAAGTTCAATATGGTAAGATAAGATTTTTTCAATAGTAAAAGAAAAAGAAAAGTCCTCAGTAAAGCTGATTCTGGACACTAGTTTATGGAGATAAGGAAGAGATAAAAAATAAAGAAAACTTTATCTGTTTAAATGGATGACAGTGTATGAAGGTAAATGTGATAAAAGGTTAAAATAAAGGAAAAACTATAGTGTAGTAGGGACATCTGCCTGTAGAAAGGGAAAGGAAGAGTAATAGAGCAAAAGGAAGGAGGAGTAAGAGTGAGTGTCAAGAGGATTGGGAATAGGACAAGACAAATATTGAACACATGAAGATGGGAAATAAAAACTAAATAAAAAAAAGAGAAACAATGATAAAGCATTAAAAAAAAAAGGTTAGATATGAAAAATGCAAAGTCATATAAAAAGAAAAAGGATACAATGAGATGATAGGATTCAAAGATTGAGAGAGAGAGATATGTAAACAGAGAGGCAAATAGACATATACGAAGAAACAAACGTTAAAAAAGAGAATAAGTGACAAGGTTTAAAGAGAAAGAGAAAAGTAAGAAAGGTTTAAAGAGAAAGAGAGAAGTAAGAAAGGTTTAAAGAGAAAGAGAGAAGTAAGAAAGGTTTAAAGAGAAAGAGAGAAGTAAGAAAGGTTTAAAGAGAAAGAAAGAAGTAAGAAAGGTTTAAAGAGAAAGAGAGAAGTGAAAAAGATTTGAAAAGAGGCTGAAGTGAAAAGGTTTGAAAAGAGGAGGAAAACCGACAAGGGTTTGAAAAGAGAGAGAAAGCCGACATGGGTTTGAAAAGAGAGAGAAAGCCGACATGGGTTTGAAAAGAGAGAGAAAGCCGACATGGGTTTGAAAAGAGAGAGAAAGCCGACATGGGTTTGAAAAGAGAGAGAAAACCGACAAGGGTTTGAAAAGAGAGAGAAAACCGACAAGGGTTTGAAAAGAGAGAGAAAACCGACAAGGGTTTGAAAAGAGAGAGAAAACCGACAAGGGTTTGAAAAGAGAGAGAAAACTGACAAGGGTTTGAAAAGAGAGAGAAAAGTGACAAGAGAGAAAGAGAGAGAGAGAGAGAGAGAGAGATAGAGAAAAGTGACAAAGTTTTAAAGAAAGCAAGAGAAAAAAATTGACAAAAGTTTTTTTTTTTAAGAAGTGGCCAAGTATAAAGGGAGAGGAAGACAAGTGGTTGAAAGGGAGAGAGAATAAAGTGACCAAGGGAAAAAGTGAGACGTAGAGAGACATGTAGCCTAGGATAAAGGAAGAGAGAGAATGAGAAAGACAGTAACTAAGGATAAAGGGATAGAGTTAGACATGTGAAAATAAAAGATGTGAGAGAGAAACATAAAAATGGCCAAAGTAAAAGAGATTTAAATGGTTAATGGAAAGATTGAGAGAGATGGATATACAAATAGTAAGAGCAAGAGAAAGCAAGACATACACCCCCCCACATACATACAAATCAAAAGAGTAAAAAGAGAAACAATTTGACAAAGGAGTGGGAAAGATAACAAGATACCAGCAGTTCAATAAAACGGCATTGGGAAGTTGCCTTGTTAGTTTTTATTTGTAAAAAAAAAAAAAAATGAAAATAGCAATTTAAAACAATAAAAAAATATACTAGCATAGAAATAAAACAGTATAAAAGGGAATGAATTGATTGAAGTACTTTTGTTCTTGAGCTTTTATTACTGAATGCCTTTGATTAAACAGGCATTTTATTTTTGATGAAGCAAAAAGAAAAGATATTTAAGGTAGCAACTCATATTACAAAGCCAAATTTACAATATCATATTTAGAAGATGAAATTTGGCACTTACTGTTATTGTATAAGAAGTTGCTCAAACTTGACCAGCATCTGTGTCCTTTACAAGACTGTTAAACTAAATGCTATAAACAATATCTATAAATAGCAGAGATGTAATAAAAAGCAACAGAAATAAGAGGAAATAAATACTAGTGAAAAATTAATAACTGATAATTCTTGATTTAAGAAATTGAATATTATAATACTACTAGTGTATGTAAGGAAAAATGTTAGCATGTCAGGTCTTAGATTAGAATTCCTGTAATTAGCTTGGGGGAATAATCAAGTAATTGGTTGCTGACATTTTTTCGTCAAAATTTATAATCTTTCACACGGAAGTAAGATGACTTATTTGAATGCTTAAAGCTATATATAACACAAATTGATAAATACCTAAGAAAACTTATAAAAGTACTCAAATTGTGGATTTAAATGTGAGCAGATATTTTTAAAGAAAGTGTTCATTAAGAAAACTAGAGTGACAGTTGGCATATGAAAAAAGTTCAAAGAACTTATCTTTGTGACCAAGTAAGTTTCATATATAGAAAGACTGATCATCAAAGTTAGGTAAATAAAATCCAATTTATCTGAGAAGGACAAGTGGTTTATATATACAACCTGAATGATATATTATGTATATATACAACATTCTCTGCTGCAAGAGTTTTTCTGCTACCATTCTAGGTCAGAAATTAAATTTAAAATTGTTCATTTTCAAGTATTTTCAAATATACCAGTAATGTATCTGCCAAAGTTTGATATTACATTACATAATACAATAATATATACAATTTTTCTCACCAGAATCTAGCTTACATATTTATAAGTCTACCATTCATCCATGCCTTGAATATTGCTGCCACTTCTGGCCTGATTCTTGATAAATTCCAAAGAAGAATCCGCAATGTTATTGGTTCTGATCTGGCATCTCACCTTCAGTCACTTTTCCACTGCCATAACATAGCTTCCCTGTGCCTTTTCTATAAATACTTTTATTGTAATTGTTCTGATGAACTTCATTATATAATATCTAGACTTTATAAAATTAAGTGCAGTACTAGATTGGTTGCAAGGTCTCATCTTTTTACAGTTGAAATGGTTAGATGTAACTGTGAGTTCTATGCTAATAGTTTCTTCTATCACACTTCTCACCTGTGGAACTTTTGCTTCCCAGTCAAATTTGATCAATGTCAATTGTTACTGTTATGGTCCAATATCCTCGTATCACAGTTATGGTTCAAGGTTAGAACCAAGGAAGAACAACACAAACACAAGAGTAGAATAACAAAGATATATTACAACAGAAATATAGTACAAGAAGTTGAAGGTGTTAGCAATGACTGTCCGTCTCGTTTAGATTGAACTAATATTGTTTCACCATTCATTCGGTTCATAGGGTTGCATGTGGCACAAGGCCAAGTTTAACGTGGGTTTCCCGAGCCCGTAGGCTCGGCGAAAAATATACCCTTTGAACCCGCCTAGACGGGTTCAGGGCCTGTCTACCTCCCTGGATGAAACCTTGCCCTTCGGCAAAGCTTCGTCCAGGTTCCTCTCTGCCAAAGCAGAGAGTTCAACAGTCATGAACTGGTGCTGGTTGCACCATTCATTCATTATACCTCTTGAGAGGCGCAGTATTTATAGTGTCAGGAAGAGTCCATTATCGTTATAGGTAAGTTCCCATAACAGTTATTTACTGTCTTCTTAATTCTTGTTCTTCTAATATTCTCTTTCCTTAATGGTGTTCTTTTTCCTTACATCCTCTAACACTCATTAACTCCCTTGCATCTTAGTGACATTATTGCCTTACTTGTGGTGAAGAAGAAGAAGAAATAGTAATATTATTATTATAAATTTTTTTTCAGAATTCAGATTAAAGTTTGTTACATTCTGCTGTATAATATGAAAACTTCTCTGTGACAATAAAGAAAAATTAAATTATCTTTAGTATACATGTTAAATTTCATGAAAGAAATGATAAATTATATTTTAGTCTTATGAACAAATTCAGAAGAACGGAAAATGTTGTGTCTCCCCAACCCAGCACAATTAATTTGATTATGGATAAAATTTTAAATTATTAAAAAGAAAATTCTTTTGATCTTTTTTGCTTAAAAATGTTTGAAGGGAAGTGTTGAGAGGTGGGTATTCCTATTTAGTCTTTGTCTTTAGTGTAACTAGCTTTCTTTCAGCTTGAACGTAATAGAAAGATAACACGCTTGTTTACTCATAATTCTACAGCATAATTTTTTGTAGGAATAAGTTTACAATGCAATTGAAGGTGTAATATCTGAAATACATTAATATTTGAAACCTTTCATTGTTTTCTTTCTTTTTAATTTTTACTGCTTTTATTTCTGTTATTGCTTGTGCTATTGTTAAATTTGATCAAACTAAATTTACATGTCTTCAAATGCAAATTTCAGAAAAGATTGTATCAAAAGATTATCATGATTACAAAGATGGTATTTTTATACCAGTCAGTAATTGATATTTTGATCAATACCGATCACGCATTATTAAAAATGTCATTAGGTGGTATTAGTCATAATAACTCATTAAAACTGTCTTTGTGTTTCATCTTAGTAATTAAAAAATGTTTTATTTAGGAATCATAACTTTAAAAAAAATTCTTTTGTTCTTTTATTCTTTAAGATAGCAACACTTAAAACTTTAGAAATTAAAAAAGTTTCAAAAAGTTACTGACAAGGAGTTTCTTATTCCTTGCAGTTGTTGATTTCTGTCAAACTTAGAAATTTAAATTAGCAGTCAAGTTTTAATTCATTCCTATGTTCAGTTTTACAGTTGAAATGGTTAGATGTAACTAAGTTTTATGCTAACAGTTTCTTCTCTGGCATATCTCACTTGGGGAACTCGTCTTCTGGCTTCTTGTTTTCTAGTCAACTTTGATCTTCAAAAATTTTAATGTAATACCAATCATAATTTTCTGTCTTTTTAATTCTTATTCTTTCATTGTCCTTTCTTCTAAATAGTAGTTTTTCTCATATTCTCACACACTCAGTAACCCCTTGTGTCTTAGTGACTTTATTGATTTGTTTGGGGTGAAATAATAAAAGATAAAAAGGATAAAAGCAAAGAGGAAACAAGTAAGCTACTCTAACAAAGTTTCAAAATTCATTTAAAGTGGCTTCAACTAGATTTTATGGTAATCTCAAATCCAATACTACAATGGAATAACAATAAGTATAGTTGAATAGTCACTGTTATGAATAATCAAGAGTGGTCTCCCCTTGTTTTGTTACTCTCCTCTTTGAAAGAGTTATTTCTGTTTATTGGGACTATAAAGGGACACTATATGTAAATCTTGTATTCTCAATTTAATAAAGGTTTCTTAAAGCCTATACCTGCATACTTTTGTCATTACAGTTACATCATGGGATTTAATTGTTACATTGAGGCTCAATTTCTGATTTACAAATATTGAGCGAGGATTCTAGACCATATATGGGAGCAGTATTAGTATCATGTTAAAATACAATTTGTATTATTAATTTATACTAATTATCTTCAACAAAAGGTTAATTTAATATAACTTTCTAAACCAGATAAACTTCTAAGATCTCTTGTACACAACTGGCAGATATGGGACATATATATATATATTGTTTTTGTTAAGTTTATTTTTATGCATGTCTTTTCATCTTACCAGCTGATTTTTTTCACAAACAAGACATAAACTGTCAGTACTTAATGTCATTTTGTAGTTGATTAGTAATACTGACTTTGCACATGACTTCATTTTTCTACTTTAATCAAGCAAAGCCTACCACAAACATTGCAAGTGAGGTGATGGCTCTCCTCTATATAACTGGGAAGTTCCACCTCATGATATTTCCAGACACATCTTTTCAGCTTTTCTTTTGTGATCCAAGAACTATTGAAAGCAAATTTTCATTATAAACCTTATCCACCATATGGCACAGCCATTTACAAGGAACTCCCAATTATCTGGAGTGATATATAAATTATATTATAATATTAACAATAAGAATTGTAGATTGTGTTTAGAAGAATGATTTTCAATGTTAACTTTTAATAAAAAAAATTAAATTATTAAATAAGAAGAATGAGATAATGGGTCGATACTGATATATTAACAAATATTTACTTTGTTTCATTAATAATAATATAACATAATACATCACATACAGTATAAAATATCATAATGTCATTAATACTACAATAAATACTATAAAAAATAATTAATAATATAATACATTACAACAACTAAAATATACATAAAAAATATCTAATTTCGAAGAAAGTTTATAACTGTAAGAAAAATTCTACAACTATAAAAAATTACAAGGATTGCATATAAAAGATGTAAACAAAAGAAGAAATCCATGAACATGCACATGTAAAAAAATGAAAAATTCATGAGTGAATATACAAAACAGATTGAGAGAGATGCAGAAAA